ATTTATCCAATTTTATGGTTTAAAACTGGTGGTGGTGGAGTAAAAATGATTTACCCAAACTCATACAGCTAAGAAAAAAGAGTAGAGATTAAAATATAAATCAGTTATGACTTCAGGCACATGGTAATTCCAGCACTTGGGAGGCTGAGGTAGGAGGATTACCATGAGTTCAAGACCAGCCTGGGCAGCATAATAAATGTAAGGCCAGTCAGAACTACATAAAAAGATGCTCTCTCAAACATTTGAATCAGTCTATCAATCACTATGACTTCAAAGCCCAAGTATTACAACCAACTTCTATTATTAGCTGTATGGTTGACCAGTGGGATAAGAAGTATCTTCATCTCTGTATTAGCAGTTTAAATTTTATCTTCATGAGTGAATTGAAGAGGCACAGTTTCTAGCAGGCACAATGGACTATCCCTAAATCTTAATCTAATATCTGGGAAAAGGTACTAATAATTTTCTTTCATAGAATTATATCCCCTTGGCTACTTCTATAAGGTCTTTTTTTTTTTGTAGAAGCTAATTAGTTTCTTTCTTTTTTTATTTTTTCCCATAATTTTATTGATAAACAAATAGCGATGAGACAGTTTCAAATCAAATTGGTAGGACAGTTTCAATAATTCACACATTGCATACATTCTTCCTAGTGGTTAATTGCTGTACAAGATGCGGACATGATATCCTATTTACAAACACCATTAGAACAAATCGCTCTATTCATTAAGAGAATGTAACTATATATCTATCCTAACCACTTTGAATACACAGATACAAAATGGACATTCATCTGTATGCCCTTTTTTTGGTTAAGTTCTGTTATTTAAATACTATAGGTGTGTAAACTCAGTAAAATATTCTAAAAGAGTCCAATAGCCCATAATAGTATTGGGTCTTCCTCTTGACTGGCAATGTCAGAAATTGTTGACCTGAGTCCCCTATAGCTCAACATAACAGCATGGCTTTACTTCTTATATTTCGTTTTTATACTTTTCTGCTGGTCTATAAGGTCCTAAAAGCCTAGAGAAGCCCGTAAATCTCCTCAGCCTCATCCACTGCTATCATTGAAAAGCATTATCTGCAGAATTACTATGTAGTTGAATCAATCAGGACACAGGCAACCAAGACCTGAATTAATTCAGCAGAAATATTTCCTGAAGCAGAATTCTGAGAAGTACTTCTTACCTGATCTGAGCTTTCTGAACATGTACACTAGTTATTAACCTAGGTGATTAATAGGATTCTATCGGAATGATAGAAGAGGAAAATTAATAGACAAATAGTGTAGAGAATAAAACCCAGAAGAAAATTTCTAAATGTACTGTAGTTTGATTTGTGGGTTTTGTTGGCATACTATTCATAATGCATAAAAACAAAACACTGTGAAAATTTATGCCCATGTATAAGAAAATTATGGAAAAAACTATAGAAATACTCAGCATAAGCCATGGAATACTAGTTATGAATAGAAATGACTTAGACTGAAGTATGATTTGGTGAACTTAAAATTAGGGAGAGAAAATCAAGTATTCAAAGGAATAAAAGTGAGCTTATTTATAAAAGTTTGTCCTAAAATACATGTAATTATATGAATATGGACAAGGATATTGAAAGCTGTGCACTAATCTTATGGTGATTTCCAACAACAAAGATGGAAAAATCTACATCCAGCAAAGGGAAAATGATGAATGAAAGAAGTGAAAACGGCAACTTATAAAGGAAGAAACACACAAAATTAAAAAAAAAAACCATAGGGTAAGATTCCATGTTGTAAAAGTGTTTGTGTCTGGGCTCTCTGAAAATATCAGGGATTACAATTCAGAAAATAAGAGATGACAGATTATTGCCATAACTCTTCAAGGCTCCATAGGTCATGGTGCTCCAGGAGCAGTTAACTTCCAGCCATTCATGTTCCTCTATGTTTACCTGGACTCCCTTCAGCAAAGCCTAGGTCCCCAAATCAGGTTTTCTCACATCAAAATCCTCCTTTCTCAGTGGCCAACATTACAGTGAACTAAAACATGGGTGTTACTTTGTTCACCTGGAAGGTAGCTCAGCAAAATTTCATTCAATCTGTATAAATCCTGTATTAAACATTCCAGTAAGGAATAGTATTTAAAGTTTTCTTTTCACAAGACTCTCCCCAGTAAAATTTTATCTCCATTTATGATTAAACAAAAACTAATAAGCCTTTTAAGTGTCTAATGGTATTTCATTATGTCCACAAGTTTCAAAGACCCAGAATTATCTATAAGTAAGAGGAAAAACCAAAGTATTTAGGTTTCTTCTCCTCTCCCCAGAAGCCTCTGAAAATAGAATTTCCATAAGAAGTCATTAGGTGATGGAGCATGTTGTGAGCAAGGTACAAAATTCCCTTTCTCAATTACAGAATAAGCCCTTGGAGCCATATTATATATGTAATGAAGGTGTGATTTTAAAAAAGCCCTAAAAACTTTTGAAACTTTTATATGTAGAAGGATTAAAACTTATTTTATAGTTTACTATTTTACTTTTTCATTGGAGGAAGACTACCTTTGTTTTCTTGAAAAAAAAATGCTTCATTGAGATTTTGTACTCTTCCACCTACTCACCTGTAATAACAAAATTCTATTTACGAGGAAGGTTGGCTGGGTGCAGCTATATGAGCCTATAATCCTGGCATTTTGAGAAACTGAGGCAAGAGAATCACCAGTTTGACTCAGGCATCCTGGGCAACTTAGAGAGATGCTGTCTTTAAAAATAAAGTTAACCAAGATGTGTAACTCAGTGTAAAGGCCCTGGTTCAATCCCCAGTGTTTTTTTAAAAAAAAAAAGTTTGGAAAAGCGAAAAGATAATTTTTTTTTCAAATAAATGTGATGTTTAGTTCTCATTGTGTACAGAATTACATCCATCTGAGGTTACTCTGTGATCTGGTTATAAGGGAAACCTTATTTTTCCTTCTACTGAATCCCAGGTAAGGGAGTTTGGTTTGACTCCAGTCTACAAAATATTCCTCAAAATACTCAATGAACAAAAGAAGATGTGAAGTTGGTGCCAAAAAGAGATGGCTGGGGGCTGGAGAGATGGCTCAGTGGTCTAAAGCACCTACTTGGAACAAGCTTGGCAAAGCACAGGGACTGCGGTTCAATCCCCCAGCACCACATG